AAATTTTTTGGTATGATTGTCTGAGATACATGGATATTTACAAAGAGGTGGTTTCTGCGGAATGAGATGCAAACGGATTGCAGATGGCCTGATCGTGGTATACCGAATCATGAGAGTGCAATGGTGCCACTGAAGTTGTTATCGTATGTGCGACAGACACGAGCGCCTTGTGTAGTGCACTGCTCGGCAGGGATTGGCCGTACGGGAACTGTGATTGCCATCGAGATGGGAATACGACGATTTCTCGATGGACGAAAAGTCGACCTTGCTACAGTCAGCTTACTTCCTTTTCTTATTTCTTACTTCAAATTCATTTTCAGCCCTCTCAATTTCGCAGTACGACGCATGGTGCAGCTACTGACAGCTGAATTTGCTTGATTCGATTGTCTGTCAACGAATGACTTGTTGAATATTTCTCTGAGATATAATGCTTGCAAAAATTCGTCGAAAAAATCAAACTTCCTCAAAATGAACTCTAAAACTGCGATGCTTTGATGCGTTGTATAAGAGTTGGAAGTTCAGTCTGTGAGAATATTATCCGTCAGCAGTTTAAAGAAAAACTCACTGCAGGGAAATTTTTATTCCAGAATGAATTTTCATGGTTTTGGAATGAGATTTGAAATAGGTTTTCGTTTCAGTTAATCAAAGATCTCAGGAAGAAGAGGGCACAGTGTATTCAGACCGAGATTCAGTACCTTTACGTTGGTCGTGTACTCGTCGAGTATGCGCTAAGTTCAGGTGAACAACTCTCGAATGAGGCGCGGAAAGCGGCCGAAAATTTTTTGAAACAATACGATAGCAAATGCAAAAAGTGATCATTTCAGAGTGACTAAACATTTAGTTTTATTGCTCGTTGTTTGTCAATTATTCTTTATTTACTAAATGCTTTTGAATGAATGTGTATCAAATTCGTGCATATTTTTGTATGACAATTTTGGAAGTTATCATTGTTTTATTGGAGCTTATTGATAATAGTATTGTTGTGTTAAATTCTCATTCTGAACACTGTTGCTATTATTGATCGTTATCATAATTTGGCTTATCACGTTTTTATGATCATCATTATCATTGTTCTATGTGTGCTTTTATTCGTCTTCAATTTGAAATTCGACGACTAACTTTTCAAGTAAGATTTATGAAACCCTAAGCTTCCGAAGAAACCAATTCTAAACGAGAATTTTTTTTGCCGATTGATCAACGGAAGCAATTGTGAAGTTTGTTTGAGCAGGAAATTACGCCTGTCACAACATGAAAGGAAAATTTGA